CGGGCTTCCGACCCTGGCCAGGAACAGGTCCTGAAGGGATACAAAGTATCTGCTGGGGGAGGGCCCGGCTCCCGAAGGAAGATCAAATGCTAACCGAGGGCCCAGGCGTGGGGTGGAACGACAAAGGAAGGGAAGGATGAATGAATGAGTTGGAAGGAGGGCTGGACGCTAAGCTGGGAGGGATGAGCAGAAGGAAAGACCCGAGGTGGGAGGGAGGCATAGGGCGCAGGGCGCAGGGAGGGCGTGCCGGGCCGGGAAGGGCTGGCGTCGCCCCGCAGGTGGCTCCTGTGGGCTCTGCATCCCGGGCCCATCCCGGGCCCATCCCGGTGCTGACGACACAGGAAGTGTCGCGAGCGGAAACCGCGGCTGGACCGGAGCGGCGGGGAGGGGAGAGGAGGGCAGAGCATCGGCGGTCGCTGGCGAGCGCGGACGCACGGACCGAGGTGAGCGCGCGGAGGCGGGAGATTGAGGCTGCCCGGTGTCTCCGCGGGCCGGGCGCGGCGCACCACGGGGCGAGGGGCTGCGGGGGGGAAGGCCAGGGCGGGCTCCTCCGCCGCCGGGCCCGGCTGGAGTTTCGGGAGGAAGTGGCGGCTCCTGGGGTGCTGCGGTTGGTCGTCTGCGGGCTTTTGGCGGAGGCGGCGGCGGCGGTGGAGGGAGCAGGGGCCGCTGCTGAGCGTGAATGTGGGTGTAGACGGGGTCGGAAGGGGCCGAGCTGAGCTCCCTCCGCGGTCTGGGGTGGAGGTGGGGGTTGTGGCCAGTGAAGGGGGTGCCCTCCTGCTTCCCCCCCACCCCCTCCGCCACGGGGTAGAGTAGGGCATGAGAGAAGGGAGAGCCAAGTGGAAACTGGGTGTGATGCATGTGTGTGGGAGTCTGTCTCGCATAACCCAGGCCCGGTTTGCGGGCCGGGCCGGTCCGGTCCGGCCCTGCTCGGACCGTGCTGATAAATGGGTGTGGCGCCTCCCCTAACCCACAGGCCGCTGCCTCCCCTCTCTTGTGGTATGCCTGGCCTTCAGGTCACTGAAAAATGCTGCGCCCCCTCCCCCTCCAGCCCGAGGGCTTCTGTGTGTAGGATTTCCCCTTCTGGGGGAGGGGTGGGTAGGCAGGTTGGGCTGCGGTGGCTTTGTGGCCGGCGTCAGTGCGCTGGGAGCTTAGAATTCTTTTAGGGAAAAGTTCTGTGAAGGTAGGTGGGCTTGGGCTTCTGGAATTTTTTCGTCCGGATGGGCTGGGAGCTCCTCGGACCGGGACCAAAGGATGGCATCCCAAGAAAATGGCTCTTTTAGGGGAAGGGGTTTGGTCTGCCAGGGACTCTCTGCCTAGCTGCTTGATCGCGGCCCAGGACAGCGGGAACAGAGCGAAAACACTCGGGTTAGCACCCCACTCTTCGGGGACCTCCTTGAAAATAGGACGGCAACTCAAACACAGGCATTTAGGGTTTAAGTCCTTCTTGAGTTTCTGCCTTTTCACTCCCTCCCGGTCTCTCCATGAGTCAGTACCTCGTGTACTGCGAGTGCATCACATTTCTCTCCCAGTTGGTTAGATGTTTGCTGGAGAGTCCAAGTACTCTTAGGAGGGGCGACTTCACCTCCTAGCAGAAATCGGGGGGAGGAGTCTTGCTCTGTGTGATGTGAGGAGGGCAGTGGAGGTATTTCCGAGGTTCTCGGGGTCTAGACTTGGGTGGAATCTCCTTGGGAATGCTTAGGCTTTTGACAAATACTTCCTGCTCCTGCGGAGAGGGGGAGGGTGTGGATATGCTGAGTTTTACTGAGCCATGGATTTAAAAGATTTTCTAAGAAAAGGGAGTTTCACCCTCTTTCCACTTTAGGGAATGGTTTTGATTGCTGGGAGGATGATAATGGGCCTTGGAATTCCTGTCATCTGAGAACTGATTGAAGGGAAAAGAGCAGATTCCTGGGGACGTGATGTTTGTCTGCAAGTATCTGAAAGGCTGTTTTCTTTAAAAAAAAAAAAAAGAAGATGAAGAAGAAGAAAGAAAAGAAAAGAAAAAGAAAGGATTAAGACTTCTTTTCTTTGGCCCCAGAGTGCCCAAGTTAGTTTGGAATTGCTAAGGAGTAAATGTAGGCATCAGAGAGAACTGTCCACAGGACTTTTCTCTCTGTGTCTGCCTTAAAGCTAGTGCTTTCCCTCTGAAATTACCGGGATAGATAGATGGTAGGGAGGTGGGTAGAGAGATAGACAGACAGATAGATGGAGAGAGAGATGTGTACACATAGACAGATAGAGACATTCTGTAAGTACGTAGGGGTTTGTTTCCTTCGCTCCTGGGCCATTAGGATGAGCTTAGGCTGGGCCTGTTTTTTGCCTGTCTTTATATTTCTAGTTTAGCACTGTTTGGCACACAGTAAGCACTTAATAAATGCCTGCTGCCTGGCCGAGTTCCTTTGGGAAAGAGTGGACTCTCCCTCTCTGGAGGAAGCCAGGCAGAGGCTGTTTGCTTGTTGGAGACATTGTAGAGGGTCGAACCAGCCGACCGCTGAAGTTCCTTCCACCTCTGCTGTTCTGTGCTATGCAGGAAGGCTGTTCTGTTTGATTCAGCTCAACACAGTGGCTTTCCTTCCCTTCAGGTCTGACCATTTCTATTCCCTTCTCGATCTCCATTGGCTCCCAGAATAAACTCTGCTGCTTGTCCTTTTTGGTGCTGAGAGCCCTGGCTTCAACGGGCTTCTCCAGGCTTGTTACCGCTCACTCCTTCCTGCGCCCTTTACCACAGAACTTTCCATGTATTCTCTTCTTGCCCCAGCCTTTCCCCTGGATTGTTGCAGCAGCCTCCTCCCTAGCCTCCCTGCCTCCTCTCCTCTCTTCAGTCCTTGCACTCAGGAACTTCCTGAATCCTTGGTCTGCCCATGTCACACAAGTCCAATCAACAAGTGTTTCTTCAGTGCCTACTGTATGCCTGGCACCATGTTAAGGACTGGGAATACGAAGAAAGGCAAAAGCAGTCCCTGTTCTTACAGTGAACTCCAGGGGCTCCTAGTTTCTAGAATCCAGGGGTGGGAAACCTGCAGCCTCAAGGCCACATGTGGCTCTCTAGGTCCTCAAGTGCAGCCCTTTGACCGAATCCAAACTTCACAGAACACATCCGCTTCATAAAAGGATTTGTTCGGTAAAACTTAGACTTGGCCAAATCCAAGGACCTAGAAAGCCAGAGGTTCCCCAGCCCAGTTCCAGATTCTAATATTGATTCAGCTGGTTGGTATTTAAAGCCCTTCACAGCCTGGCCTTTCATCTTTCTGCCTTTCATCTTCTTATGTTCTACTCTCCTCTCTGTATTCTGCAGTCTAGCTCCACTGGCCTCTTGGCTCTTGCCCATACATGACCCTCCATTTCCAATCTCCAGGCTTTTCCATTGGCTGTTCCCCATGCCTGGAATGCCCTCCCTCCTCCTCTCTGCCTCTCAGAAGCCCTGGCCTCCTTCAAGACTCATTTCAAATCCTGCCTACCACAGAAGGCCTTTCCCTCTCAGGACTGCCTTCAGTCTGCTTTGATTGACCTCATTATTTTCACATTTTCTCTCCAATTAGAATGTGAGCTTCTTGAGGGCAGGGGCAGGGTTTTTGCCTTTCTCTCTCCAGGTCTTTTCATAGTGCCTGGCACACAGTAGACACTTAAGAAATGCTTGTTTTCTGACTCTCTGGGCCGGCCCGCCCTTCTGCTGCCTTTCCCACAGCACCTTGCTCTCTCTTCTCCCTGAAATGCCCTCCTCTTGGAATTCCTTCTTTCCTCCAGGACCCCACTGAAGCCTACGTTCTACATGAGGCCTTGCATCCCTCCCTTTCCAGCCCTCACCTAGCACCCTTCCTCCCCAAACTACCTTGTCTCCATTTGCTGTAAAGCTGTATATAGTGAGATAGCTCATGCCTCCTCCCTATAGAATGTAAGCTCTTTGAAGGCAGGGATTGTTATATTTTTCTCATTGTATACCTAATACCCAGCACAGTACCTAGGATGTATTAAGCACTTAATAGATACTTGTGGATTGACTGAACAAGAATTAAATGCCTGCTGTATGTATAGCATGGTGCGTAGCACTGAGGCTGTGATACAGAGATGAAGAAGCCAGGAAAGCCCTTGCCCTCAGAGGGCCCAGACAGTGTCAGGTAGCTGGACCGTCTTCTCCGGTGAGGGTGCTTCGATGTAAGGTGTGCGGGGGCCCAGCAGGAGGAAAGCCTTTCAGGGAAGGCATCATGGAGGAGTACAGGAAGGAGGAGCCTTGAGCCTGGAAGATGAGGGGATTCTGACCACAGAAGGTACAGAGCACAGGAAGAGGAGTGGGTCACATGTGGCAATGTCCAGAGACAGGCTAGCTCGGTGGCGTATTGGCGAGTGTGTTGTCCTTGGTGTCAGGAAGACCTGAGTTCAAATCCTGCCTCAGATACTAGCTGTGTGACTCCAGGAAAGTCACTTGATTTCTGTTTGCCTCAGTTTTCTCGTCTGTAAAGTGAGGAGAATGATAGCACCTACCTCCCGGGTTGTTGTGAGGATCAAATGAAGTAGCGTTTTAAAAGGATGCCAGGAGATGGAAAGGGCCCGAAGAAGCCTGGGAGCAGCCTCTGGCCCAGTGATCCCGAGAGCCCCGAGCCCCGTTGTCCAGGGAATGAGCCTGGAGACTTTGTGTAAGCCCCAGGAATGAGCTGATTATATGACACACGTTTGTGAGGCTTGCAGGCAAGGTCTGTAGGGATGGCTCAGCGCCTGCTCAGTTTGGGGGTTCCTCAGTTTCTCCCCACCCCATCCATCCTCTGCACAGCTGCCCAAGTGACTTTTGGTTTGCTCTTGGTTTTTGAGTAGGGTCTCTGTCCCCCCCTGGCCTGCTCCATTTCTAAACTGGGTTAGGTCAGCCCTCCTTAGGCAGCTGATGTCTTCCCCCACCTTCTTGGGGCTCACCATATTGGTGCCCAAATTCGTGCGGATTCTCTGTAGCCCAGAGCTGCCGTGCCTTAGTCTTTTGAAGGAGCAGGGATTGCATACAGCAGGCACTGCCATGCCCGGTCGGGAGATTTTCCTCAAGTCTGACCATGTTACTTTGGTTGTTCTTCAGTTGAGATTTCTTCATGATTCCATTTGGGGTTTGGTTTGCCATTTCCTTCTCCAGCCCATTTTACAGATGGGGAAACTGAGGCAAATAGAGTGACGTGACTTGCCCAGGGTCACACAGCTAGGAAGTGTCTGAGGCTGGGTGTGAAAGCAGAAAGATGAGTCTTCCTGACTTCAGACCCGGTGCTGTGTGTGCTGTGGTGCCCCATGGTGCCCCATGGTGCCCGTGTTGCTTCTCACTCAAGAACATTCAGTAACTCCCAATTTCCTTTAGATTTAAGTTTGTCAGGAGAAGGCCTTCCTAACCTGGCTTGGCCTCCCTTCACAGGCAGATTCTACCTTGTTCCATCCACACACTCACGGTCCAGTTAAACTGGCTTTCTCTCTGCTC